GAATTCTGACGTTTCAACAGCCATCAATGCATCGATATTGGAAACAGTCAATCGGAACGACGCTTGACCACTGTGCCCACAACATTTATCCAAAACGTCAAACTCCAAAATACTCCTGTTTTCATAATTTGGATTGGCGACTTCAATTTTAATCTCCATCTGGATGGTGTCATCACGTACAAATCCATTTTTAATGTTGGATAATAGCGTCCAATTGGTGATGTAAGTAGCATTACCAACTTTACGTGTGTGATTGTATATATATGGTGGCGAATAATATCCAACTGGTTTCACATTTTTCTTGAACGTTAAAAATTTAACTGTGGCACACGCAGTGTGTGACCAATTTCGTGACTCATCTTCATTTTTGCACCACAAATTAACAATAAGATATTCTTCCTCTTGTAAACCACGGACCTTTTTGAATTTAACACACCATGGCACGCCTTGGATCATAACATCAGTTGTGAATTGCTCGTCAAATTCGCTGATTTTTGAAATTTTATGGATGAATTTGATCGTGGTTGAAGACATGGTTATGCTGTCGTCGAAAAATTAAGTTACATAAAATGACTGGATCAATTTGATCTTGAATATCTGCAAAAGTGAAAACTACACAATATAATAAATTAATTAACTTCAAAAAACTGAATAGAATGCCTCAAAGCTTATAAGTATAACCTGTTCTACGTTACGACGTCTGTGCAGGATACTAGACTGTACTATTGCAAACGTCACCACGAGTGTGCCAAAGCATTTTGACAGATCGAAAATTCTAGAATAATCAGTTCGAAAAGCACAACCGTGGTCTAGTGTGAACGAACTTCAAATTATATTACATGTCAATTCAACTTATGAGTCTGTGTATTTTATTCAGATTATTTGCACATATCTAAAAGAAACGTAAATTGTAGCACTATGTCACCATTATTAAATCTATATCACCAACAGTTTTCATTCCGAATATTTTCAACGTAAACAATTACTCGTCCTCGCATGAGCAGAGTTGATTCGATTTTATTTCAAACCTTTTCAAACGGAAAACAAAATAATTTTCAATATTAAACGATGGAGCTTTAGAGATACTGATAACGACTCGATTTTATTCTTTAACTCTAATCTTTACATTAATTAATGATAAAAGTAACCCTTTAACACATAAGTTGTAAGAAGGAAGGTGAATTGAAAGTTTATTTTTATAAGAATTTTTTAAAGAAAAATATTGATATTTATTTCATGCGATTTGAAAGGCTGTCCATATTGTGATTTTCGATTGTGTTGTCTAGGTGATTGGGATCGGAGCCAGCCTAGTTTGCGCTGTAGATGAAAAGAAAGCAAAGACAGTAGTCTCACGTATACAATAATAAATCGAATTGATAAGTTTCAACTTACAGTGGCAAACGAGTGCGCCGTAAATCAGTCAATTTGGCTGCAGCATTGCAGATTGGACACTTTTTGCGAGCTTTGATGACATCTTCGATGCATCTTGTACAAAACAGATGGGTGCAACGGAGTGATGACACTTCTTGATCGCGAATGACTTCCATACAGATTGAGCATTCCAATTTCAACAGCTTTGCATCTTCATTTTGACCATTGGCCAATTGGCGTTTATTGCCACATTGACCGGCATAATCAGGTTGTTTTGCTATGATATTGCGAACAAACCCGTTTTGATCATCAAATAAATCTTCCCATGATACAAATTCGCATTCATCCAAAATATCATGTTTGTTCACATCTTCCTCGAGTACACGCTTAATTGTCTTAGTGTCATCTTTTGTCGAAATAAGCTTGACGACAGCTGTGGTGTTGTATGTAACTTCGTCAGTATCATCATCTTCAAGGATCTCCAATCGAACGCCCAACCATTTCGATGCATCATTGTAAATCGACATTTTCCAACGTAGACCACGCAACATGAATTCGGGCGTTCCAACAGCCGCCAATGCATCGATATTGGAAATAGTCAATCGGAAAGATGTATAACTACCAAGTCCACAACAATTGTCGAGAACATCGAGCTTCAAAGTGCTTTTATCTTTATCATTTGCATCAGCAACTTCGATTTTAATCTTCATCTGGATGGTGTCATTTCGAACAAATCCATTTTCAACATTCGTCAACCGTTCCCATTCGATGAAATTGATGCCCAAAATGCGATTTGAGTTACCGAAAATATACGGTGGAATGTAGCCTTTGTTTGGTTCCACATTTTTCTTGAATGGCAATAGTTTAACTGTGGCAAAAGCAGCGTGTGACCAATCGCGTGTTTTATTTTTATTCGTACACCATAATCGAATGCCGAACCATTCCTCTCCTTCGTCACTTACCTTTTTGAATTTAACACGCCATGGAATGCCTTGGACCATAACTTCGGGTGTGAATTGTGCATCTAACTCACTCAGTTTCGAAATTTTATAATTGAATTTGGCCGTGTTCGAAGCCACTGACATCGCCATTCTTTCGTTGTAGAAATCCAAATCGACTTAATAAATTGAATTTTTGTTTGATATGAAAATTACGAAAGGTATAGAAATGAATTAAATTGCGCAATGCTTATGAACAACATGTACTGTGGATGCTGGCTCGTGTACGACTAAAAATTTCATTAAGAGAATGAGCGCCAAACGCGAATACGTGAAATTTGACAGATCGAATTCGAAAGTGATAGAACATTCTGTTCATTCACAACAGTGATCTAATGTGTATCCCTATCAAGGGATTTAGACGATTCAAAGCTATGAAATATTTTCCTAACTTTTTATAACGTTGGATGAAAAACTGAATAAAATTGTATAATATACATTATCCAAACACACCAAAGGTTTATTTCCATCCTAAAGAGAAATTAAAGAATGTATGTATTCGTCGTATACTATACGACGTTCTATAGAACGTCTGAACTTTAGAAAATCTGAGAATAAAGCCAACTCCAAGAAAATGTAGTTTTTCTCTTATTTCTAATAGTATAAATAATTCAAAATATGTAAGCAGGCTATTTTTTTCTTCAAAAGAATAACATCCCGAAAGTTTGAGGCAATTCTAATACAAATTAAAGGTACCTTCCATACAAAATTTCCGTTTTTGTGTCAAAAATCGAAAGTTTTGTATGGGAAGTACCTCTATTTGTGATTGAAATTTCTCCCAATTTGGTGAAATTATGTATTTTGACACGAAAATAAGATCCACAAGATTTCATTGTAATTAACTGATTAAGTTACTGCAAGCATACATTTTGGAAAGAAATTCGATCAATTTCGAGTGAACAAAACCCCCTAACTACATGACTTAATCACCGTGGAAGCTGGTGAATCCTATTTTCGTGCCAAAATACATAATATCACCAAATTTGAAATAATTTCAATCAAAAGTAGGGATACCTCCCATACAACATTTTCGCTTTTCGCAAGAGGCACAAAACTCCTAATTTTGAAGACAATATTTCAAACCTAGGGGGTAGACACGAATTATAAAACTTTGAATCATGTGAATCACAGTGAATCATTCAAATGTCAAATAAGCATCACTTTTGGTTTTATTAACATGATCGTTCAACAAATTCTAAATATTATCGTTGATTTTATTTGAAATTTACTATAAAAACACGAAAAAGATAAAAAAATGAGTTAATACATTTAAAAAATCATTTTTTCGAAGACAAATAATTTTAATTTATCAATAAATACTTCTTTCATGACACATAAGTGACATTTCAAATGTCATCTAAACAATGTGAATCTTTTGAATCACAGTGAATCAAATGAATCATGTCTACCCCCTAGTTTCAAACTTTCAGAATGTTATTTTATTGTGTAAAAAATAGCCTGTACAAAGTTTCACGTCATTACGTCAGCCTAAAATCATGGCTCTCATACAAAAATTCATTTTTTTTTTATTTTTTCAAAAAAACTCAGGTAAAACTTGATTGTATCTCAAAACTAACGCCGGATTCGGTTCCATGCGGAAAAGTCAGCTTGCGTACGTAAGCCCCTTTATTTTTAATGTATTTTAAGTAAAAGAAATTCTGATATTCAATTAAAGACATATGGATGTGAAATTGTCACTTGGTGGAAGTAATCACTTTATTGGCAGATCTGTTGTTGAAACTATTTGATATTAGCTTCCTTCAGATGTGTCATCTGGGTGATTGGGTTTCAAGCAGGCCTAATTTGCGCTGTAAATTCAAAGTAAACAAAGACAAAACCTTTATGCTATTCATACAACAATCGAGCAATTTAATGAGTTTCCACTTACAATGGCAAACGACAGAGCCGTAAATCGGTCAATTTGGCTGCTGCATTGCAGATGGGGCACTTTTTGCAAGCTTTGATGGCATCTTCGATGCACTTTGTACAAAACATATGAGTGCATGGCAGTGATGAAAGTTCTTGATCGCGAATGGCTTCCATGCAGATTGAGCATTCCAATTTCAGCAACTTTGCATCTTCATTTTGGTCACGGGCCGCTTGGCATTTCTCGGCCAAATTGAGCGAATCTGTTATGATGCTGACATCAAACACAATAGTATTATTACGAATAAAGCCATTTTGATCGTCAAATAATTTGCCCCACGATACAAAGTTCCATTTTTCCAACAAATCTTGCCCATTCATTTCCTTCTTGAGCTCATGCTTAATAGACTTGACATCATTGTTCGCAGAAATGAGCTTAAAAGTGGCTGTCGTTTCGCTTGTAGCATTGTTTTTATATTCAATTGTCTCCAATCGAACGCCCAGCCATTCTGATGCATCATTGAAAATTGAAATTTTCCAACGTAAGCCAAACAAAATAAATGCTGGCGTTCCAACAGCCATCAGTGCATCGATATTGGAAACAGTCAATCGGAACAATGCGCGATTAACGCATTCACAACATTTGTCCAAAACGTCAAATTTCAAAAGGCTCTTATCTTCATAATTTGGATCGGTGACCTCAATTTTAATCTCCACCCGGATGGTGTCATCACGCACAAATCCATTTTCAATGTTGATTAATCGTTCCCATTTGATGAAATCAACTGTACCACAACATCGATGTGAGCTACCGAAAATATATGGCATTGTATACTTTTCAAATGGTTTTAAATTTTTCTTGGACGGCAATAGTTTAACCGTGACAAAAGCAGCGTGCGACCAGTCGCGTGATGCATCTTTATTTCTGCACCACAAATAAACATTAAGCCGTTCCTCTCCCTCATGGCGTTCCTTTTTGAATTCAACATCCCATGGAATGCCTTGGACTATAATTTCGGGTGTAAATTGTTCGTCAAACTCATCCAGTTTCGAAATTGTATGAATAATTTTTTTCGTGCTTGAGGCATATGACATGATCGTACTTTCGTTATAAATTGAATTGGTCAATTCGATTTCAAAATATTATAGTATACTAGAAAATGTCAATATGAGAATGAGCGCCAAAATATGTAGTTTGACAGATCGAAAGTTCTAGAAGATTCTATTCGAAAAGCTACACAGTTCAACTGATGTGAACGATGCTTTAAAGATACAGCATGCCAATTCAACTTATGTGTCAAGTTATGCCCACCTTGAGAAAGAGTTTATGTTTTTGTACACAAGTTAGCAATTTTATTAACAATCGTACTTCATTTTGGATTATGTTTCACTTTACTTGAATTTTGTATGGGAGTTTCCACTTATCTTAATTCGAATGACTTCAAACTTCACCTGTAGCTAGTCTCTGATAATAAAATAGGATTTGCGGCCATTTGAAGCCATTGCGTTTGTTGCAAAGTGTCATTTTATATAACCACATTTTCGATTTTTCTTCTGGAAGTTCATAATGGGTATGAAATTTTTTGGAATGAAATCTTGTATGACAATTCTGATAAGCCTAATCGATACAGTGAGTCAGACTGTACATATGCCACCATAGAAGCAACTTTCGTCCACCATTCCTTCCACAAGTTACAACCGATTTTATGAACTTTTACCTAGAGGACCAAAACAAAAAACTAATTTGCGCGAGCACTTCCCGGGATTAAAAAAACCATTCTAACAACGTAGAAGTTATTGTCTTGGATCTCTGTAACGAAAACTGGATGGGTCCCTAAACATTTGTAACTTTTAATTTTTCTGGGATAGTCCAATATTTTCGAAAACCACAACAGTGTTTAAATGTGAACGCACCTTCGAGTGACATTAAACGTGTGCGTATCCTTATGTATCACTCTCTTTATTTGCTCGAATACGAAACATTTGCGAATTATGAATACATTTCACACGATACTAAGCAATGAAATATTTTCTATTCTTTTATGTTGTTAGATGAAAAACTGAATAATTTGCACGAGCACACCACATGTTGATTTAAATCCTAAATATTCAAACAGAAAATTAAGAATGTTCCTATATGACATTCTATAGAACGTCCGAACTTTGGGAAAACTAAGAATAGTGTGGTTTTTCTTTTATTTGTAACTCTTTTTTTTCTACTGATGTTATCTATGGAAACTCTAAGCACTAAATTAAAATAAATTTGAATTTTTCAATGAATTTTCAGTAAAATATATGTTGATATTCAATTAAATACATATGGATATGAAATTGTAATACTATGAAAATTGTCGCATAATTGGCGAATCGGTTGTAACTGTTCGCGTCCGATGTGACTTCTGGTTGACTCGGATCTTATCCTGCTTAACTTGCACTGTAAATTCAAAGTAAACAAAAATATTAGTCCTACTCATGAAATAACAAATCAAATTGATCAGTTTCCACTTACAATGGCAAACGACAGCGCCGTAAATCGGTCAATTTGGCTGCTGCATTGCAGACTGGACACTTTTTGCGAGCTTTAATGACATCTTCGATGCACTTTGTACAAAACATATGAGAACATTGAAGGGATGAAAGTTCTTGATCGCGAATGGCTTCCATACAGATTGAACATTCCAATTTCAGCAGGTTGACATCTTCATTTTGACCGGCATAATCAGGTTGTTCTGCTACAATTTTGACTTCTAATACGATCACATTATTGCGAACAAAACCAGTTTCATCATCAAATAAGTTGTCCCACGATACAAATTTACACTCTTCCAACACATCGTCCGCGGTCATTTTCTTCTTGAGCACATGTTCAATTGATTTAACATTATTTTTTGTCGAAATAAGCTTGACGAAAGCTATGACATTACACGTAACTTTATCAATATCTTCATATCGAAAGATTTCAAGCAGAACACGCAACCATTTCGATGCATCATTGTAAATCGACATTTTCCAACATAGGCCACGCAACATGAATTCGGGCGTTCCAACAGCCATCAATGCATCGATATTGGAAACAGTCAATCGGAAAGATGTATAATTACCAACTCCACAACATTTGTCGAGAACATCAAACTTCAAAATGCTCTTATCTTTATCATTTGGATCAGCAACTTCGATTTTAATCTTCATCTGGATGGTGTCATTTCGAACAAATCCATTTTCAACATTCGTCAACCGTTCCCATTCGATGAAATTGACGCCAAAAATGCAATGTGAGTTACCGAAAATATACGGTGAAATGTAGCCTTTGTTTGGTTCCACATTTTTCTCGAATGGCAATAGTTTAACTGTGGCCAAAGCAGTGTGTGACCAATCGTGTGATGCATCTTCATTTCCGCAACACAAATAAACAGCGAACCATTCCTCTCCCTCATGCAGTTCCTTTTTGAATGTAACATGCCATGGAATGCCTTGGACCAAAACTTCGGGCGTGGATTGTTCGTCAAACTCACCCACTTTCGAAATTGTATGAATAAATTTTTTTGTGTTTGAAGCATACGACATGATAATTTCGTTGAAGAATAAAATTATACAAATTAAAATGATCAATTCGATTATTGAAAAAGAAAATACTGGTTATGCACAATTATTAATAATTACTAGATTTATTTCACTTTTATAAGCTATTCGGTGAGAGAAATTGCGTTATGCTTATGAATAGCAAGTGCTGTGTAAGAAAACTTGCAACATATGATGGCAAATGTCAATATTAGATTGAGCGCCAAAATATGTAGTTTGACAGATCGAAAGTTCTAGAAGATTCTATTCGAAAAGCTACACAAACCAGCTGATGTGAACGATGCTTTAAAGCACATTACTCCAATTGATGTGCTAAGTAGATTGGTAAAATAAGGTTTTCGGTATCGAGATGCCCCATACAGATCCCGATAATATGACAGTAAAAAATATATTTGAGACACTTTTTGATTCATTTTTTTTATTTTTTTTTGGAAAAATCGTAAAATCTGGAAAAAAATTATTTTCCGCTGTAAAAAAAATACGTAGTTGGGGGATGGGGTTTGATACGAGAAAACCGAATGTAACGTTAGTTTTGCGATTCAACAAATATTTGATACACTTTTCAAACAAAAATCTGAGAAAAAAAATCACCAAAAATATGGATTTTGTATAGGAACTACATTACATCGTAATGACGTGCCAAATAAACGATCACTGTGTTGCACCGACAGTTTGCGTGCGCTGCTCGTTTTAATCGCGCTTGTGTGGCTTTGTGACCTTTTTCACATTATTCTTTAACAAATTCAAAGCATTTTGATTCAATCGAAGATAATAAAATGAAATTATTTATTAAAGCAGCAAACTCAATGTGTCAGTTAATCAGTTAAAAGTCAATCTAATCATATATTGTGAAAAGTTATTTGGTGAAGTAGCTTGGGCAGTAAAATCAATTGGCGAAAGTACGTTGAATACGAGTTTCGAATAAAAGTGAAAATATTATGTCTGTAGCTGCATTCAACATTTTAATTTTCATCACTATCTTGAATGTCATGAAATTGTCGCATTTATGTGGTGGTTCACCTTCAAATGATAGCAGTGCAAACAATTTCCCAGATAGAATGGGAATAAATTCGCAACGGTTGGGTAAAGATTTGAATTTCAATTGATACCAAATCCACTTGAGGCTAATATTTTCTATTACATAGGAAACACACAACGTAAATTCGTAGCCAATGTTAATTCTTGCACAAGTTATAATCAAACATTTTGTTTAGAATGGGCTGATAAACATCCTTATGTGGATGATATGGACGACGAAATACCATTCGTAATTGATATGAAAGCATCAACTCACGACGATGAAGACAATTATTTTCAATACGTTATTTCAACTAAACAGTTATTAAGAAACGCGGCTAAATATTCCAATATATGCGCTGATGGTACATACAGAGTAGTCTTTTTTGGCTATCCTCTATTGGTTGTTGGTTCTATCGATTCAAACCGTAGCTTTCATTTGATTGCTGCTTCACTTTGCGTATCTGAAAAAACTACTGATTATGAATTCCTATTTGAAGGTGAATACAAATTTGACTATCCAATCCTTGCTAAATTTTAATTATAATATATGTTTTCAGCAATAAAAAAGGGAGTGAATACAGTGACGAATGAGTCTTTTATGCCAGACAAAATGATTTCAGACGCCGCTCCAGCCATTATCAATGCATTTTATAAGATTTTTGCAGACAGTGCACAAGCGAATGTTATTTGCTGGGCTCATGTGAAGAGAAATGTGTGTCAAAAAACGAATAACGAAGATATGTTATCGGATATATCTAAACTGCAATTGTCGTATAATTCATACACTTTTGAGCGAGGAGTTAAATTGTTTATGAGAAAGTGGAGAAAAACTGAGAAATCTTTTTGTGATTACTTCAAAAAAGTTTGGCTAGATAAAAATTCATCATGGTATGAAGGCTACCTCAGTTCCTTTCCGTCAACCAACAATGCATGTGAATCGCATAACGACGTCATTAAACGAAAATACACATTCCGCCGCCGATTGAGTATAATTAAATTTAATGAACAACTTTTCAAATTATTCAATGATTTTTCGGTAAGCTACAACATTAAACGATCGTATGCAATGACACCTTCAATCGAAACCAATATATGGACGAATGGCATTGAATGGGCGAAAAGCAAAGAGATAAATGTAATTCTCGGCAAACGAAATGACGACACACAACTAATGTATATTCCATCGTCGAAATTTGTGATAGAAAATAATAGATTTTTACTCGAAACGGATGTAGATGACCTCAAATTTAATAGAAACAATAATTTTGACGAATTTTTTGAAAATGTTTTTAAAATTTGGATTGTTGAATTTAATTTAAATGACTGGAAAAATTCGAATTGTACTTGTCACTCATTCATGAAACTTTTTTATTGTAAACATGTTATTGGATTGAGCCTAAGATTTGGTAAGGTAAAAGCACCAGCAGTCGCCAACCCAGCTACGCTGGGTGAAAAAAAGAAAAGAGGTCGGCCAAAAGCCACACGAAAGGCATTAATTAGACAGTAATAATAATATAAAATAAATTTCATTCTGTAAAAATCTTGAAATTCTTAAATGCACATTTTGAAGTAAAAAGTAAAAAGTAAAAAATTAGAAACCTTTTTTACATATGAACTATCCTTTTAACCATATTCGACAAACCATTCCATAAAAAAAACTAACACTTTCTAAATTTATAACTAACTCTCTCCAAATTGATTACTAATTGATTTTTAATTTTTGACGAACTTATTTCTATTAAACTGCTAACCGGCGATGTAATATTTCACTAACTATTTATACATTTTCTACTAACCATTTTCTTTTTTAACTAACTGGTTTACATAATTCCCTTTATTTTAATCTATGTATTTTACATTCAAATCATCATGGAACCAATCAAAGTGCATTTAAATCAACAGATGTTAAGTTTGTTGATGGTTCAGTCAAATTAGTATTGTTCACAGCCATCTTCGCATAAATCGATTTATACTGTTATTAACAAAAGGAAGGCATCTTATGTGAATTTTTTTTTGTACTTAAAATATATGCAATAATTACCACTCCTTCAAGGCTATTGACGCCATCTTCGAAGGTCTTTAACATTTTTTCAAGTCTTTCCACTTCGTTAAATGCATCTTTCAAGTCATCTTGGAGTTTTGTGAGACGTATTACGAGTGTTTCTACTGAAGTTCCATTCACGTTGTTTGTATTTTCATCTATATTTCTTGTCGCAGAGATAGCATCGGCGTTGGCATCGCTTTGACGATGAATTCGAGCTGATAAGCAAACCTTGTTGAAAAAAACTCATTTAATTCTCACATTTCTCGAAGATTTTTCACTTTTTCGTTACTTACATGGCTAGCAAACAGAACGAAAAACACAATGTTCAATTTAAAGGCCATTTTTAAGCCAATCTTTTGTTCACACTCGTTAAAAGTACTGTGAGTGGGACTGCACTCTAAAAAACTTGAACTCGAAATAGCTTTATCTATAATAAACAGAAAAAAGCAAAAGAATCTCAAGTCATGAGTCATCACCCTTGGGCTTTACGTTTGTTATTTCGTATTCCATTTCAAATGCGATAACTGATTACGACGTTCCCAACAAGATGTGCCAATTTCATATTTCCGCTGATATTGAAATTGAATGAATGCTACTTTATACATTGAAAAGTCATTGAACAAATTTCTGTATTAAAATATGAAAAATCACCGAACGAGCATGTCACTTATCTCAAGAGACTACAAGATTTCTTGTGAATTCAAAATTCGCCTAAATAAAATACAATTTCATAAGTTCAATAGATGGCGTATGCAGTGATGATGGCGATAGACTTAATCGTGCTTTTAAAGCACTGCTTTTAAATTTTTGTACGCGTTTTTCATTTTATTTAAATTTATACTTTTTACAAATTGTTTTTGTCTGTCTTTGTTAAGCCAGACTTGCTTCAAATTCTTGCTGAAAAATAAATAATTTAAGTAAAAGAGTATTTCAAATTATTTTGCATCAATTTTATTCCAACTGTTTTTTTTCATTTTGTTAGAAAATTGTTCCTGTAGAGTTTTATATTTCTCGGCATTCTGATTTTTTATCAGAAAAAATGCTTTTGGTCTGCCAATTCTTAATGGGAAGCATAAGCTGATTCTTTATTCGAAGCATTGGTAGAAATCTTGTGTGAATTGTGCTCTAAGGTTTTCTGGCAATTTAGTAACCATTTGGTTGAACATTTGTTTGGTTCCAGCCGATAATGCTGCATAGCATTGTCTGTAGTGAAGAAAAATGTAACATTTTCAATGTAATTAGTGGATATTTTTTACATTTTTTCAAGTAAACACTAACTTTTGTTCGTCTCCTGAAAGCGATGCACATTTTTGGGCAGATTCTGCCATTGCTTGAGCAGCCATTTTCATGGTTTGACCCCACGAATTCAATTCGGTATGGTTGGACACCAAGTCCGAAACTGCTTTCTGCATTTAAAAGAGAGAACACATTTTTACAATACAAAAATCATCGAAGATGGAAAATCTAATTGAATGAGATACAAATAAATAAAATGCTTACCAAACCGCACTGGAATTGTGCATCAGTAACTGGGAAATGGATATCCCCTGCGATTTGGCCAGATGGAATACCATAGACAAACTAAAGAAGTAGAAGATTATACGATTTTTATTATCTTATTTCGCATTATTTTAAAACCCTGAATTGTAGGCTCTTGGCTCGATTTAGAACTAGAAAAAATATAAGTCTTTACCACTGCCACTGATAAAACAGCTCCGATTAATAAAAATTGTTTCATTTTGAAAAGTGTCGTTTTTCGTCAAGTAGTCGAAATGAACTCGTTAAATTGAAGTATGCTTCTGTTTGGTACAGTCTTTTGCTGTCGTATTTATATGATTTTCTGACCGATATTTTTGAGATAAGTTATTTCAATCGAACCATCGAAATTCATTAATTTAATTTTTTGTTTATCATCATAATACACACCGATCGCAATGAAGATTATGATATTTCTTGAAAAAAAATTTTTTTTTAAAGATTAGATAAGAAAAATGTATAAAAAAATTCTAATCAATTTGAAATGATATCTAATACATCTGTTTTAAACTTGCTAATTTTTCGAGTACATAATTGAGCTTCGGTTCTTGGTTGGATGATTTTGGAAGAAAATGATATGATACAGTGATGTGGCCAAGAACTGTAGCCAAGAACCATTCACATTTCTCAAAGAAATCCATATTTATCAAAAAGGCAGACAATATATTGAGCTGAATATTTATTTGAAATGAAACGAAATTGCACGCTATTTTTGATAAAACAATAGAAGTGATTGTTGTGGTTATAAAACACAATACAATACACAGTACAATAATTATAACAATCACTTCTATTGTTTTATCAAAAATAGCGTGCTATTTCGTTTCATTTCAAATGAATATTCAGCTTAATATATTGTCTGCGAAAAAGGGGCACAATTCTCGAAAGTTCGTCAATGAATGTTTAATGACTTTTAATGACGTCTCCAGATTTCTCAAAGAGATTCATTTTTGTCTGATGTAAAATTAAGAATTTGTTTGAATTACAAGAGAGTTAGCAAATAAATAACACGAAAATAATTTTATTTCACCATTTAAATCTATTTAATTATATTAGTTTCAAAGATCATTTTTTCGTGTAATGGACTAACTTAAAATTAGTAAATGAGAGATGGATATAATAAAAAATATCTGGATTCAAGACATCCATTTGGCTCGTTCTTTCTCGGCGTCTGCAAAAATTGCGACCATTCTTGCATTCCCTGCAATGAAAAAAAAAAATCAAATTCAATGTCACTGTACACAGAGGCAGATGCCTTTAAAATTACCTGTTGCATGATTAGCAGGCGTTTCACCCTTTCTATTTGTGGCATACATATTTGCACCATTTTTAATTAGCATCTTAGCAACCTCCGGTGATCCATAGAATGCGGCCCAGTGCAATGGTGTTTCACCTTGGAAATTTTTCGCATTCACATCAGCACCATTTTTAATTAAAACATTTGAGATATCGGTTGAACCTTGAAATCAAATTCTTCCATTATCAATGTTCAAATGTAATGTCAGCTGTATACTTACGTTGTTGAGCAGCACGGTGTAAACTATAAGTATTTATTAAAATAATACGAAAATCTCTATAAAATGTTAATAATAAATTCAATGAAAAATATTAAAATGATAAACTTACGGAGTGAATTGTTGGCTATTCCTTACGTTAACGTCAGCACCATAATCAATCAAAAGTTTCGCCGCTTTCGCTTTGCCTAAAGAAAAATCGTTTTTGTTCTTGAATTTTTCTCGGGCTGCGTGCTTTAAAATAAAACATACCGTGACTAGAAGCGTAATACAAAGGTGTTTTGTTCAATGAATCCTTTGCGTCTATCTCAGCGCCACGTGATAAAAGTAACTGCATTAAATCCACTGCACCCCAATAGCTGATCCAGTGGAGCTGATGCAATTTAATAAAAAAAAAATAATTTATTAATTAATAATTTGAGTAATTCAATTAATTTACCGGTGTTGCACGTGTGTTTGTTTTTACATTAACATCCACACCTTTTTCAACCAATGCATGAATAACATCCGCTTTAACTTTAAATGAATTGAAACAAAGCGATAAAAATGTGATCAAGGAAAAAACGTCCATTCAATTCCAATTACAATGTTTTGCTGCCAAAAAAAGGGGCGTTTCACCGGCGTTATTTTTTCCACATAAATTTGCACCATAATCGATTAAAAACTTGGCTACATTTGAATATCCTGAAACGAGTTGTAATTTATACTCCATTGTTAATCGTCAAAAACACAAATAAATGAAACCAGAGTCGGTGTCGAAATAGTTACTTTTGGAATTCGTGCCTTACCTTCTTCAATGGAAGCATGAAGCGCCGTCGAGCCCATATTATTCGGAATGCTCAAATCGGCCCCGTTAGTAGCTAGCAATTTTACCGTTCGAACATTACCTTAAATAGATGCAGGAATGGAGTAAATTATTAAGTAAACCCAAGTTCCGAACAACAGATCACGGAAGCGAATTTTACAAAATGAATATATACCCATTTTAGCAGCAATTGTTATCTATAAAAAATAAATAACATTTTAAACATTTAAATTTTTATTAAATTTTAATTTTGATTATTTGAATACCGGTGTATCCCCGTCTTCATCCTTAAGATCCAAGTCTATATCTTCGTCTCGATCAATAAGCCTTTTAATAGCCGTCAAATTACCTGAATCGAGGAGAATAAATTCAGTTGCTATCGCACACAATATTCACGCGACTTACCAATGTAAGCGAAATAGTGCAGATTTGAAAAGAATGGATTGGAAATTGACCTATAAAATTAATGACGTGAGTGAGACAAGTGCATTTTCAATGTTGAAGAATTACTTACGATATTGGATTATTTGCGGAATGTTGAAAACCTTAATAATGAAACAATGACAATTAATGACTTCAATTTTTTCTTTAAAAAAAAAATGGATCAAAAAGTATACCTTCATTCAAGGCGATTAAATTTCCACCCAAGAAAATGGCAATCACAAATAAAAACTTCATTCTTGATAAGCAAAAAAATTGAACTCTGCAATAAAAACAAGGAACAAATAGTGAGTAAATAGCACTCGACTAGAAAATACGAAGGAGAGAGGTAAATTTCCATTGACAACTCTCACTTTATATCAAAAGGCGCGTATTTGAATCTCTGATTACTTTTCTTCTGGAACGTCCATATTCCAAAATAAATCTAAATTGAAATTGAGTTTAATCGAGTGTTTTGTTCGCATTGCCTGTTATTCAATTGAAATAAATTAGAATAACAAAAATTATCTCATACATTCCCACCATACAAAATCATTTACACGCGCCTTAGAAATTCAAATGGGCACGTTTATTGCTTATCCGGTTGCAATTGTTTAAATAGGCGCTTTATTCAGAAACATTTTGATGTCAAGGCGACAAACAATTTTTTACGTAATAGCTATTATAGCATGATTATTGGATTTATGACGATCTTCGATCGAATTCTATGGCACATTTAGACACTTTCACTATCACATCGGTGTCAGTCATTGGTTTTGATTATGTTTTGAACGAAGCGTGACGAAGTTATTTGCACGGCAAATAAAAAATCAAACGCAAAGTGAATGATTTGAAATTATGAGTAAAGTATTCCATTTATCTCTATTTTCAAACACACATTTTTTTATTCGGGATTTGGTCATTACTGAATCTTCTGTTCAGTTACTTTCGATCGCTTTTTTCCCGAAAAATCTCTTGCTAGGTATGTACGGAAAAGTAATATTCTGCGGAATATTTTGAAATCACTGCAATACCAACTTCAAAAGAAGCAGATCTTTAAAAAGTTACCCTCAAATTGTAAAGAGCTAATATGCCGTATTATTTTAATCTTAACTTTATCAGCTAAATAGTTTCATTTATAATGCTATTTAATCACTCTGGAATACACTTTGTTAAATTTGTTGAAAAAAGTTTGATTTAATAAACTGTTTCTTGAATAGGCTAACTGAATGGTTTGATGAAATTTCTCAAATTTTTATTCAGTTTTTATTGCTTTGATCACCGATTTTTACATTTTTCGAGTTTTAACCTCAAATTTTCTCCTCTTTGACTGTAAATCTAAACTTTTAAGAACTTTTCTTCGAGCCGATTGAACGGTATTTCACTATCGGAATGATCAGTTGACACTGAACCTGAGAATGTTCCAATCAAAACTGAATCACTTTGCATAATGTGCGTTCATTTTATGCTTATTGAATAAATTGAGAAATTGCTGTGCGACATTCATGACATGTTTACATACATTCAAAATACAAGTAAACATCTTCATTTCTAGCAGCAGCTTGTTGAAAGAAAACTGTTTTGTATGTCATTTGATCAATTTACTCTTCTGAATTATAAACAACTTACTGCGTTCAATTGAAATGACCAGCTGATATGTACGAATTTGGATTGTGCGCCGTAAAATTATGATGTAATTGACGAAATTTGTTTTGATAGAGTTTTGTCTTTCTGTGAATATTTTGAAGCGCCGAAAAGATAAAAGGAGCTGGTTTTTTAAGTAGATAAAGAACACACAGTGCCCGCAGTTATTTCATATAATTGTTCAAGCCTGAATACAAACCACCTTTCCCACACTCGATGTGCCAAAGAGTAAAAGAGCAGTATCTGAAGAGTGGCCGCAGCTCTGTGGTGTCTTATCTGTTATAGGCCTTCAAAAATATTGTAAGCACGGCTAAAGTGTATCCTGCAATGAAAATACCCACTAGAGTCACGAGAATCCGTGTGATATATAAATACTCTTGAAATAATCAAAAATGTGGTTTTTATTTGTTACTTTTGGAACAGTAATAATTCCATTATTGGAATCTCCATCGAAATCATAATTTCTTTTGGAATTGATATCAGTTTCATGTTTGATTCATCTGTTTTTTTAAAATCAAAAGTAAAAATTTGGTTTTGTTCCCAAACAAATTCCATTAAATCTAAAGATTCTTCAGTGAAAGAAAGTAGTAAATGTGAATTTGGTCGTTTGCTGCATGCTTTAAGCTTTCTTTGATTTCATGTATCGTCTTATTCATCATGCAATGCAAATGGATGGTTGGTCAAATCGGCATCGAATCGTTTCACTTCAATGCTATCAAATTTGGTGTCCTTATTGTGCCATTTGATATGCAGAAATGTTGTTTCATCGACAAAAATTTCTAATCGCTTCATCATATCTCGTTCCTTGTTGACTCTGGTCAGTTCCATGTCCAATCTTCCGTTAACTTTCCGTATGACAATTTTGCGGAGGTTCGGTGCTTTTTCAATGAATGGCACAATATGGGTGTTGACTCCTTTGCTTTCAATCTCTTGGAAGTAAAGTTCCTTGACATTCAGTGCACCATTAATCAAAGGTTCTTCGTCGTCACAGTCGGCAATTGGGCGGCGAATGTATAGCATTTGAAATGTTAACTTTGTCAAAGCCTCGATGAATTCCTTGTTTATTTTGACCTCGCAATCAAAATAAATGCTGTGCAATCCGTTCATGGCTGCAATATCATCGGCGTGATCAGTCAGAATGGTTGGATCCATAAAACGCAGTTTCAATCGATTGAAACGGCCACTTTTTTCAATTTTGTTTAGAAAATCGCTGAACATTTGCACATTTTCCTTGTCGTCGAGATTCAATTCAATGCCCAAGTCGTTCAATTTAACGGCGCCCTGTTGAAAAATGCTTTTATTCAAATTGATGATCGACATCGATGTGGTGAAACTTTTGACGGTTTGATTCTTCTGAAAGAAATTCTTCAGTTGGGGGATGGGCCGTGCATCTTTCACCAATGCCAAATGTTCCAGTTTCGGGTACGTTTGCTTCAACCAATCATCGTTGATTCCCATGTATATGCCTTCGTTGGAATAGATGCGAATGGACAAACGTTTCATATCTTCACAGAATTGTAGCACCATGTTGTACAAATCTCCGTCAATTTTGCAGCCAAGAAATTCAATCGACGTTGCCACTTTCAATTGTTCTTTGATACAATCGACCATTTCATTGTCAAGACGCTTTCGGAAGATCTTTTGACCAAATTGAATCTTGTCGATGGTTTCGATGTGGGTGGCCAAAAAACGGAAGATTCCAATATCAAAATCTTCGAGAATGACATTTCGATAGCATTTATGGAAACCATTTGGAGTTCTTTCCGATGCCGGCAAAAAGTATGTGAGTGGTGTACGGATTAATAACTTTTTTGCCGGATACTTGTGTTTGATGTGAAAGTCTATCAGTTTATTCATTTTCTTGCAGGTTTGACCCACCGATTTTACGTCACCCGATGATAACCAATCGAATATTGAACGACAACAATCCTCATTCAATGTGGAGAATGTATCGATTCCATTGCCGTTCTGTTCTTGATCCACGATGCCATTCTGTAGTTCATTCGCGTTGGCGTCGTCATCGTCATCGAGTAAAATCACTTCGTTCGCAACATTTTCTGCAACATTGTTCCCAATATCATCATTCTGTTCATCCAATTTCGGACGTTTTGCCACAATTTCATCATCATTCATGGTGCCCCTATTAGAAAAGACCACACACTACGATTAATTTCACAGTGCTACAACAACAATTCTGTGCTATTACGACGCAATTTGTTTACGAATTTTTAAAACAAATGCAACGCAAAATACAACCAAATTTTGATTGAATTTCATTGTTTCCTTACCTTTTCTGCAAAAAACTTCCGATATAAACCCAATTTCTCGCGAACAATACGTATTTTTAACGATTTTTTATGAGAGCAAAAACGCCAAGCAACTTGTTGCACATGCGACTGTATGGAAAATTTGACAGGTTCATGTAGTGTGTCAGGTTATTGTGGTGTGTGTGTTAGAGCGGAAGAAATTGGAAACGTTCAATACTGTAAATATCAAAACAATCCGCGATGATGAATGGCTTCAAGAAGGTTCCATGAATTTTTGGTGAAACATTTTTTATGCATTTTCTTTCTATTTCATAATTTTTTCCCGGTGTAGTTTTTCACCGTATTACTCATCGAAAACTGTAGATTTATCAATCAATTCGCTAAATTTACATAAAATTTGCATGTGATTGGAATAAATCAAAAGGATTTGAACGGAACCATTGAACTCATCAAATAATTTTCACACACAACCGATAAAATTTTATTTTGTATTCCGATTCTATCGTGGTATTAGTTTTGAATTTTGCGGCGAAAAAATGCCGATTTGGTAAAAATGGTGACGAAGTCGAAGAAAATGTTGTTTACATCGCTATCAATGGTATGAGTGTGTGTGTGTTTTGAAGAATCGAAAATGGAGCAAATCTTGGCGAGAAGAAAAAGTCGATTCATTCGCAGCCAAACTTTGAAGTAGAGCACATCGATAGTAAAACTATTGAACACCGTGAAGATTGCGAATTGCCGGTATTTTCTTTCTTTGGAATAAGATCCGACTCACTGGATTTCTCGGACCGGCTTCTTTTGCTCAACAAAACTAGTGAGAAAAAAGATAGCGATGAATTGTAAGTACTCAGCATATATTTAATACTTAAAAATTACCAATTGTCTGTTGTAAGCTTTAAATAGAAGAACACAGCCTTAAATAAAAAAAAATGTTAGATTTTAATGATATTCCATGATAAATAATCCCCAATTTTCCTATTTTGTTTAATGAAATGTTCAAAAAAGTTGTAAAAATGTAAAAAGGCCGGTCTCAAAACATTTAAAACCAAAAAATCGAGATTTATCAGTTTACTGCAACTGAACTTCATAGTTTTTGTGTATTCACCTCTTTAAATGTGATTGAAACTTTTCAATTTGATTGAAATATGGAAATTTGATTAGCATGGAAGACATGGTATTAGCCCAAAATCAAAATAAATATTTTGTGATATTTCCAAATCTAAGCGAATTTGTGCAGTAGATCGGGCCCAATTATGAACTGAGTAGAAAAAACTGATGAATACTGTTCAATCGAATCCATTGTTTTCACGGTTTTTATAAAAACTTATTGATACTCTGTCAGATAATAGAGAGAATATCTTTATTAATAAAATTGATTCAAGAAATGTTTCCTTTTAATGAATTCTGTATACAATGCCTTCCACACGAAATAGGTTGGCGCAAGAATCTAATTAATCAAAAAGAATTAATCATTTTTTCATCATGATCAATCTCTCTTTTTCTCTTTATTCTCAATTTCTCTCAATGAAAAATTCATTAAAAAATCAACATTTTTTCGATTCTTCAAAACTTTTTTCAGCTAAAATTCACGAACCGGCCGACAAAGTGCTGGTTCCATCGATTAGTCTCCAAAAGCACCGATGTATAGTTTCAAAGTCTTGTATTATTTCTAAACCACTGTCATCGTCTCTGTCCCCATCATCGCTTCCACAATTTCCGCAAAGCAAGCGATACCGTGAAACCGACACCGACGTGCTGCCAACTCCAAAGAAAACCAATTCCAACAGTGCCGAATGCCGTACAAAATTCACTGATCTCATTGTAGATTGTCTGGAATATGTGTTCGATAACTTGGAACTCATCGATTTATTGAATATAGCCGACTTGAATGCGAACACCAAAGAAGCGGCTGGAATGGTTTACAAAAAGCGTTATTCGAATCATTTGGTGAAAATGTCTGGAATGGATGCATGTACTCCACTAAAACAGACTGATTCAGAAATTTCAATCGCTTCAATTGCCATTTGTTCCAAATTTCTCTGCACCTTTGGTGAATTCATTGAACGCTTGCAACTGGAGTATATCAGCAGTAATCAAGTATCGACGGCTGACTGGTGCGACATGAAAAATTTGTTCGACGAAAAATGTGCCAAACATTTGTTCGAATTGAAATTGGTGAATTGTGACAAGGAAATGGTTACGAGTATCGAAAAACCAATGGAAAATGTGAAAAAGTTGCGAATCAGTTGCAGTCATTTGGGAACATGTATGGAATTGGACAAATTGTTTCCGGCAATACAAGAATTGGAATTAATGCACCACGATGGTGGCATTCAAATCCTACGCAAATTTCGGAGTTTGCGGTTCTTGGCAATGGACACATCAGCAAACGCACGATTGACAACGTATTACATTGAAACGATGATCGATTCAGCGCCAACAATAAAAGTATTGTCATTGAGCGGCGGCATTGATCCAAGGCTGCTTGAGTATATCAACGAAAATTTAAAGGAACTGAAGGAACTTTGCTTTCGGGAATTCCGCATGAAAAATCGACCGTGGTACAAGGAAACATTCGTCTTCAAAAAAGTTGAAAAACTTACTGTTCGAACGGGATACTTGGGAGATTTACCGGAAAAAATTCCATTTGAATTCGAAGCACTCAAGGAAATGAGCATCATTACCGCATCACTTGATCGCAATTGGATTGAATTTGTGATGAAACAACGAGAATTGGAAAAATTGCATTTGACCGCAAAAATTAAGGATGATGATATCGATCAGATTGCACACAAACTTATCAAGTTACGTGAAATCGACGTGGTAGCCAACTTACGGTTTTTGAAGCAGTGTGAATCTTTGCAGAAAATCCGGTTCACGAAATTTGATCCAGAGATGTACGATTCAATCTGCAAATTGGGCGGCGCCAAGTGGCATGTGGTACAAGACGGACAATGGGCTGTTATTTTGACGAAAGAACCTTTTTAATTCAATCGACTAAAAATCGCTGTTACTCTATTTTTTTCCACTTTTTTAACTTTTTTCTATATTTGTTACGCATTTTTACCTAAATATTTTACTGATCCAAATCTATTTTGAGAGAAATGTTTGAATTTTGTTCAGAATTATGCACGGAATGGAAGTTTTGTTCAAATAATTGATATTATTTTTGTGCCTTCTGAATTCCAGTTGAAGTAAATTAAATTGAAAGCATTCAGCGGTTACGTTAGCTTGAACATTCAAATGAAAAACGATTAATTTATGAATAAAGTCTTTCAGCCTTGAAAAAAGCATGAGAAAAAATCATCCAGTTGAAAACAATGAAAACTCCATCCATTCGCTTAAAACTCAAAAAACGGCCTTCTTTGTTTTGAAACTCGAAAAACGGCTATTAATTGTAAATACTTACTCGTGAGAACCATGACTCATACATACTCCAAATCTGTTTATAAACATACACGAACTTTTTTCATCGCAATACATTCGCTTCCTTGTGAGCCGTATCGTCTACCGTAAGTATTGCGAGTGTGTGCGTTCCAGTTTTGATGCGTATCCACGAACACATATGTGTCCAGTTCGTGTGATTGTGTTGTTAGCGCTGCGTCTTGCTCTGTGTACAATTGTACATACATCCACTCACGCCTCATAGTTGTAACGGTTCGCTTGCGTCGATCTGTGTATGTGATCACTTTACGCAATGCTACGTCTTTCAAATGTCAAAATAAATTTATTCTCAGTACCAACCGGACGAACACCGTCCTATTTGTGCACCAAATATTTACAAAATTTCGTTATTAATTGTTGTTTAATTACGTAGTTAATCAGATAGTCAGTACTGAAAATCAAACAGTGATTATTAACTCGTTTTTCGCAACATACGGTAAGTACAAAAACAAAGACGATATTGTTAATGAAAACAGAGAGAAGTCGACAAATGACAAGTGTTTGTGTGTTTTGAAAAAGTAAAAAAAGTCTTTATTTTGCCGGAATGTTAATATTTTTTTGTTGTTAAACATTGATTTTTCAAGCATATTTTTGAAACCAATTGAAAGAACCCCATTAGAACTTTTCTTTTTTCGTCGAATATTTTCAAGTAAAAATCGTACGGCGCCCATAAGCTGTGTGCGATAAGAAATTCTTGTGAAATACCAGCATGTTCTTAATTTACTTTGTTTATGCTGACGCAACACTTTCGCTGTGGTATTGAGTGTAATTTGTTTGTTTGAGGTTGACAATGCCTGTCGTTTTTTTGTCATTGCACGTTTTGTATTTGATTAAATGAGCAGACTTGATTTGATAGTTTCTACTGAACACTTGCTAACTTGCATTTTTTTGCTTTGTTTGCAGTGAAACAAAATACTTCTTCTGCAGTAATTTTTTTTGATACGCTAAAGAGCGAAATACAGTTTTTCTTGAAGTTGGAGCGAGACAAAAATTGTGAATGAATTGAGAGAGGCTATTGAGAACAACTGTATACATTGATTGATTCTCTGAACACAGCGTATGTGTGTTATTATTTTGTTTTCTCCTAACTTTCTCTATTTAAAACAGAATATTTAGAATTTGGAAACAGATTGAACTGGATAAAATCACACAACCTATTTTGGATTATTTGAGTGCAATTGAGCTTCACACGGGCACAGTTTATTTTAAATATTTTTGGTATGAAAACTTATATGTTGACAACCCGTGATATTAAATATTCCGAGATTTCCCGTTCAAGCAATTTTTCCTCTTTTTCAATTTGCTACTGTTTTTTAATAGAATTTCTCTCTTTACTTGCCAACCATCCTCATGCATGAAAGGTGGATAGAGATAGTATTTCGTTCATTTTCTTGAACATTTTACTCAATAGTTCGTATAAGTATCAGCGAGTCATAGGGCCTTGGAACTTATTTTCCTTCTTCAACTTTGAAAAAACTTGAACATAAACTAAAAAAGCCTACAATAACCGAAGATGACAAACTAAAACATGATATTCTTCTAATTTCAGATGAAAAATGAGTGATTCAGATGAAGAAACCGATTTCCGGTCCAAAAAGCCACGATATTCACAGTCGATCAATTCAGAGCCATGTTCGCCGTCGAACCAATCAGGGCCAAGTTCGTCATGGATCAAAACAGAGCCATGCTCACAGTCGATGATAACAGAGCCGTCGAACCAATCAGAGCCATGCTCGCAGTCAGACATATCGGAGCCATGCTCGCAGTCAATCAAAATTGAGCCATACGACAGCCTCGAAATTTTTGATTATTCAATCATCGACGAAACAGTGATCGACGATGTCCCGAACAAAACGTCCACATCCACTGTCATCAAAAAAATTGTGGATTTACCAAAGGACTGCTTGGTAAAAATAATGGACCACCTTGATTTCGTTGACTTAATGAACGTGGCCAATGCAACGACAAAATTATGCGAAGCGGCTTGTGAATTATACGGCCAGCAATATGCCGACAAATTGGTGAGCTATAATGGTGATATATGTAGCGAACGGGTGATGGAGGTAGATGTCACTGAAATCACAATCGAAATCAATGACTCTAGGTCATGTTTGAAGGTGCTTCGCGCTTTCGGTAAAGTAATCACGAAGTTAAAGTTGAATTTCCAAAAAATCGATGAAAGTCGAAAAGAAGTTTGGACCCAGGCAATATCACAGGTATTGAATGAATACTGCAACAAATCACTGAAGGAGCTGGAATGGTATGTTCGAGGGGCAAATCACTTAAAAATTACTTATTAATTATTATTGATTGTTTTGCGATTATTCTTCGATTAGTTTCGATTATCGTCATTAATTGTAATATATGTATTACGTATGAGATTGTCAAATGACGATGATGGAAATTGAATCTATGTGAAATAAAAAGAGAGAGAGAGAGTGTGTGTGTGTGGATGAGTGAGTGAGTGAATGATAGATGATTGGGGAACCATTAGAATGTAAGAGAAAACATACGAAAGAAACAAAAGTCACAACAGCATATAACAGATTGCTGACGAAAAATTGAGATTTGGTAGTAGCAGTGGAGAGAACAACACACAAAGAATCAATGTTGTACACACAGTAGCATTGCATCGGAACAACGTCACAACGACGACAACATGGCGGCGCAAACGGATAAACGAAAACTGTATCAACAGCAACAAGAAATCACGTTGGGGTAACAATTGTCATATTTTGCATAGTAGCTAGCGCATTCGCTGTTCAATATCGGCCACTGTCAACGACAAACCGATTTAAATGTGTTGGTGTGTATTTGACTGTGACATTTCAAACCAACAAGCCGGCAACAATTCACATCGTGACGAACCATTGCCAGTGTAAGAACTAAAATTCCTGCGCATAAATTTTCAGTTTGCATTGAAAGTGAAATATCCTATCGAATTGGATTTTTATCGGTTTTTCCAGAAAAAGTGTTCGGTAAGTGTTATTTTAAAATATAATATTAAACAGAATTTTCGAATTTTTTTACAAAAAATTGACTGCATGCTAGAATTAGATTGAGATAGAGAGAAACACATTGAACACAATACAAAATCATGTTAAATCATGAATTTCATCATTGCGCACATTGGATTACGGGTACCGTTAGCCAATAGTGCGACGCAGTTTCTCATGATTTTTCAAAGCCCACTTTGACTACGATATGCAATTGAATGTTTTTTAGATTGATTTTTTTCATATTTTTTAAATAATTTTTTTTGTTTTCAAAATTTATCCTTTGGCAAGAATATATTGTAATTTTGTGTGTGCTGTTTTTCTTCTCTCACATTTCACTAGCAATAGCCAGCAATGGCCAGTTCATCCAGTGAATATGATGATTCCGATGAAGACGAAGAAGAAGAAAAAGAGGAGGCGAGAGACAAAGTTTTGGCCAAACGTATTCATTTCAACGAGGTAAGTGCATTTGAATCAAGTTCATTCATCTCATCATATATTTTTTTCATGTCATTTCTTAATTTATATTGTTTTTGTGGGTGTCATTTGTTTTATCCAGGTTCAATATCTCGTCGAAAACGATATTCGAGATTCTAAATGGGTGCGCAAAGAAATGGTCAAAAGTGAACATCGTCTCCTTGAATTTGAGTTGGAAACTCGCCAAAGTGGACTCGACGAAGTGGACTGGGATCCATTGCCCATTCAAATCATTAATGCCATTACCATTAATGGAGCGGTGAGTTTTTGACAAACATTTCAAACATGAATTTGAATTTAATCGAATTCTAAGCAATAACATATAATATTCCTTCTAACTATAGATCGAATATTTGGTGCAGTTCAGTGATGGCACACAAGCAATGGTCTCTTTTACATGCGGTCCGATGCTACAACTAATCAGTCAATTTGAAAAAGATCGCATTTATAAATCTGTTGTTCGATTGGATCGATTGAGTGAA